CTGTGTTGAGAACATCCTGTGCTGTGTTTTGTGCTCAAGAAGAAACTGTCCATGCTGGGCAATGGTGTCAGCCAAAGGGTTCCTCAAACCAAGGGATTTAGGGCTGCCCAATTCTTCTAAGAAGACTCAGCTTCCCATTGCCAATCCGTAAGTCCTGCACTGAAATATTTAGGAAATGCATACTTGCACAGCCTGAAGTATTAAATGTCAGCTTTTTGGGGGCTGGAGTTGTTTTGTTCAGCTCTGATTTCAGACACAGTCAATTCCAGGGGCAAAGCTAGGGAGGAATACTTCATCCACCCACACAGGCARTGAAAAGCCAGACCCTTGTCTCAGCAGCTCCAGCACTTTAATTTCTTGGCACTCTGGGATGGTGCAAGAAATTTTACATTAAATCATGACCAAGAGCTCTTGGGCATTTCAGTTTAAATTYTTCACAGACAAGCCAAATTTCCCTGTAACTGATATCCATACTGATATCCTTGAGAGGGAATGTGAGGCAATGGGAGGAAGCAAATGTGCCTGGTAGTGATGAAGAGGCTTTGCTTTAGCTGCAGGAATGGGGAACAGTGAGCAGAGAAAGGGAGATAAGCAGCCAGGAAACACACAGAGGGCACAGCAGAGCAAAAATCCACAAAGGAAGCAGAGAGGGAGAGCTGCAAGGAGAAAAGCAAAACGGCAACCAGTGTGGAACAGGAGAGTGGCCTGTAAAGAAGCTCTCAGGAAACGTCCCATGGCATGTCAGAGTGAGAGTGCAAGGGTAAAGGTTCCATGAGGCCAGGGCAGCAGGAAAACCACACTGSCAAAGGGAGGAGAGATTATGAACCTCTTGGTGAAGCCTCTGGGGCAATGGAGACTGCTACATGGGATGGAAGAGCCTGGTTATCCTGTCACTCTGACAAACAATCTCCCAGAGGGAAATCCTGGAACAAGCTGGGATTATGCATGTAAAACCTGGTGACCAAAGTCCACTTTCAGATACTGAGTCTGGGACCAAAAAAAAATGTGGTGCAGGTTTTCCTATCTCAGCAACGCAAAGAGAGGGCCAGAAGGAGCCACACCACCTGGGACAGAAACAGGTCAATAAGGAGGACAAATACGATCAATTTTCCAAATGGATTGTACAGGATTAAGTGATAAAAATCTTCTGATCCTAGCTAACTGTACAAAAAGGTTAGATTTGCAGTGTTCAGAACTCAAAATTCAGCAAGTCCTACTATTAGAGCTGCTGATGATAAGTGCATTTAGTCCCCCTATTCACCTGTGACAGTCTGATGCTGCCTTTAGATATAAAATAACATATCTTTGGTGGAAAGCTGAGGTATAACAAATGTCCAGGAGGTCTCATGTGAGACAGCTCAAGGTTTGGAACACAGGCAGATGCTTTCCAGAGACTGAGAAGTGTGGAAAGAACCAGGCACTGAATAACCCAGTGCTCAGGGTAGGGGACTGCAATCCTCAGGGTGGGGGGTCAGAGGGGCAGCCAAACACATCTTCAATACTGCGCTGAACTGATACTTCTCTCACACTCTATACACAAGAATATTGTAAAAAAAAAAAAGAAAAATCTGATTCCCTTTAGTCCTACAACCCTGATCAACTGAACGGTGCTCTTCAACTGTGTTCTCACAACATGGAAGTTGTTCTTACCCTAAGAGTTTGATAATTATTGGCTTCAGTGGGAGGAAATACACTCCAAAATAATAATTCCCAGGCTGAAATCAAGCTCTGTTATTTTCACACCATTGCTAACATGTCCAGAGCAGATTTATTAAAGCTATGAGTCAATCTCTGTGACAAATTAGAGACAATGTTTGTGAATAAGCAACTTTGGTGTTTATTCCTCCTGCTTCTTCATCTGCTGAGTTGCACCAGGGAAGCAGCTTGCCAGGCTAATTATTCACAGGGATTTTAAGCTGCATATTTTCTCTCTGGAGTAATCTATCCCAGATGTGGGAAAGGCATGGTTTTAATCAATCCTATGCATACCATGACACTTGGGCACATGTGCATCATGTGCATCACCCAGTAAAATAACTGCATTGTACACCGTTAACAAGCTGGCAATCACATGCAGTTCTGTTTGCCCTCTTTTTATAGGATTTTAGTGCTGCCTCCTAACAAACCAATTCTGAAATGAAACAAGGAAATACTCTTAATGATTACAGAGCAGTTTTTTCACAGCTACAAAATTTTTTACTAAAGTAATGGATTGACCATGACCTTCAACTAGTTTCACTGCTGGTAATAAGGCAGGATTAAAATCTATATACTCTCTCTACACTGTTCAATAAGATCTTGGGAAACAGAGTGAAATCAGCCCTCCTTCCAGTTTATGGACAATCATTTAAAAGGGACACACCATCAGATTCCACACTAGAAGCCTCAGTGCAGCCAGTGATCTAAAGCAATTCAAGGTTTTTTTTTCCTGAAACAAGTGACAGAGCCAGGTTTCTGGGAGGGCAAAACCCTGCACAAAGTGTAGAATCACTGACCAACGCTGCACTGAGCAGCACAGGATATGGCAGAAACAGCTATTTCTTGTCTCTGGTGACACCTTGGGTTAGGTGCTGTTCTCTCCACAGTGACAGAGGCAGGTTTGATCCCAGACTGTACACATTTCTTTTTCTTCCTCCTCACAGAGCATTATTTTTTTTATTTGGCTCTAGCTATGGGGATTGAAAGATGAAGTAGGAATATCTTACTTTAAGGGAGGAATGAAGTAGATGCTGGATGGGAAGGAGGAGTTTTACAAAGAAAATAATTTAATAAAACACTACCCGTTAGCATACAGTGACCCAGTTTGATTGCAGGACTGGGAACACAAGGCAAAGCTCAACACAACTTMGGGAAGATTTAAAAAGCACCACATTTTCACACTGTAACATCATGACGTGTGACTGTTACAAATGCCGCTCATTTTTCTCTTGTTGAGGTGTTAAAATGCAGCAATGGGCTCTGCTCTAGGGATTTTTAATGGGATTAATGTCAGTGTTGGGCTGCAAGTGGATTAATAAAGGCTGCTGTTAATCAGAGAAATGGTATGACAGTCCATCTTCAGAAGGGGTGGCTAGTAAAGGATAAACTCCCAACTGTCTGGGCATTTTCTACATCTTTAACAGAGACCTAAAGACACTACCTTCATCTTTTCATAGCAGAACACAACGTGGTGAGTGGTGACTGCAGACCCTGCAATATCAACGCTCATCTGTGACTTCAGTGGGTGTTCTGGGGTAAATAATAAGTTTTCAATATTATTTAACAAGCTATTCACAACTTAACAAATTGTTCAGTTATTTGCCAATCTCAGTAGAAATATTTGTTAAAGTTACCATCCATGGACTTCCAGAAATGACTGGACATGGCACTTGGTGCTCTGGCTGAGCTGGCATGGTGGAGATCAATCAAAGGTTGGACTCAATGATCCTGGAGGTCTTTTCCCACCTAAATGCTGCTGTGATTTGTGTGATTTTGAGAAAATACTGAGGACTTAATACCTGGAGGATTAATATCCTGCTGCCAGCTTTCAGAACCAATCTTCCCCATAAATTATCCCTTTATTTTTAATTATAAACAAAAGTTTGAATGTTGCAGGGTGCTGTTCTTTTTCAACTTTCTTGGYATCCAGCCCAGTGGAAAACCTGTCCCAAGGCTGCTGGTTATTAACTGAAATCTTAAAACACCATTATTATCATATTCCCAAATATTTCTGTTCTACTTGCAATCGTATTTTCAAACTGCCTGACAACTCAAYATTATTTTCTTACTGAAAGGCAGCCCTAGTACACTAAAAACAGTATTGACAGCTGGAACACAACAGTCATTTCTCTTTATAAGTAGAGTTAGTTCCCTCTCCAGACTCTGTCAAAGAGGATTGTTCTTTGATTTACCTCAGTTTAATTTATTTTAAGCATGAGAGTGTGTAAAAGCAAAGATAATTTTGAGTATGTTGGCACTATCTGCAAAGATTTCTATTAAAGTACAAAAATCAAGGGTGTTTGTGATTTTTTATATTTTCAAAAGTGATATTAGAAATATGATGTTGGTTCAGAAGTCAGGTAAGGATCTGTGTTGGCGACAATTCTTTTATTGGACATATGCTACTGAGCATTGAACACTTATTTATGTAGGCACAGATTTAAGAATAAYACCACAAAATCAAAAGACTAAAGTGCAGACCTGTACTGAGAAGCAGGCCTGGTGGGTCTGTCTACTCCTACAACTCAGCTGAGAAAAGGGGAAAAAATCTGCCATTATAAGAGAAGCAGCATGTTATAAATTATGTTTACAGAACTAGATMATGGTCCTGCAAGGTCCAGAGAACTGGAAAACTCGGGTTCCTTGTGGACATGCACATTGTGTTTGTTAGAGGAAATATTTCTCSTTAGATTCTGTGGTATACAAGTGGTTCATCTGTAAGAAAACTTAATGAAGCTGTACTGATTTAAACAGTTCTCTTAAGAAATTTTTTTCTGTGTTTCAGAATTATATTTCAGAATAAAAAATGATACACTTAGACCCAGATAACAACCTACACAAAACAGCAAGTTTCAGCAAACAGTGACCACGAAAGAGTGAGCAGGGGAAGCCAGTGTGAGTCATGACTTTAGGAAATGGTCTTTGCCAGATTTTATTCCTGCTTGCATCAGAATTTTCTCCCTAAGAAGATTCAGGAGACAAAAAGGGTAAACCAAACATGTYCTTGTCTTCATCTCATCAGGGCAGTTTTCTACAGTTCTTAGTAACAGGAAAAAAAACCATACATTTCCAGAGTTTGCACACATCCAAAAAGAAAAAGGCAGAAAACAAGGGGGGGGGAGAATAAAAACTAATAACAGCTAAGACATTACTTTGTAGTAAACAATAGAATATAACGTGCAATAGTGCAATTTCTCCTTTGCTGCTCCAACAAGGCAATCTTGGTAGCCAGTCCCCTGCATGTCACCGTGCAGCATCCCCCATCTAACTGCGTGCCTGCCASGAGCTGCTGCCTTTGCCAGCCTTTGGAGCCGACTCGCTGTGTCCAGAATCTCCCTTCCCCTTCCCAAGGTGGCGGAGCTTCTGATCCCAGCGCTGCAAGTTGAAAGGAAAAAAAATTACAGGAGAGATTACAGAGCTGTGCTTTCACAAACAGCAGCCAAACCGTTTCTATCCACCAACTCACCCTGAGCTGGGCTCAAGGGTGKAGTGAGAGCTTATTGGGAAAAGTCA